ACAAGCTCAGTGCTAGATTCTGCTTCAGGCTAACAGCTCGATCACTGCTCGATTGCTTTGACCAACTTTCACGACACAGTCGACATGAGTCGACACGGGGACATCCATTTCTACGAAACAAGAGTCCTGCACAAACGCAGCAGCACACAAGCGCCCGTCGACCTGTGCACAGCAAGCAGCTAAACGCTCTCACTTCCCCACACAGCTCTCAGCACGGACCAGGCGACGATGTTGCTGGCGGAAGGCTGTTAGCGGCTTGAGCTGCTCACGCGACAAGTCGGTGCCCAGCTGCGCTTCAGCACTCGAAACAAGCAGAGCGATGATCCCAACTGTTGCCCGCATGGCTTGCAAGATTCCTGTCTTCGTCACCTCTCTTCCTTGAACTTCCCAGACAAATGTATCTTTGCGGCGGGGCAGGAAAGGCTACAAGCTGGAACACACATACACTTGGCGGACAGCAGACACCTCTTCAGCCAGCTCTACGAAACAACTAAAGAAACTCAGCGGCATCACAACTGCAGGACGTTGGTCCACACATTCACCAGAGCATCACGGTAACTGGGTCGATCTCGCTCTAGCCAGCTGGCGCCTACGCGGCGCAGCGACGGTGGTACCTGCACACGGGAAATCTTCGCACACTGAGCTCTGACTGCGCATCGGAGTATCCCACATGTCCAAGGTTTGCTCAGCAGCACGCTGCGCTTTCGTGAACTTGCTCACGAAGGATCGCACGGTCTGGACTTCTGCCGCAACAAAGGCGGCGGCCAGCGCGCGACGGCCATCGTAATCCACCACTGACACAACAGGCGTTTCACCTCAGATCAAGAGGTCTCAACTCGACTTTGGAGCAGGAAGCCATCCTGGCGCTGGAGAGCACGGCTGAAGTCACACTTCAGCACCCCCACCGAAACAAGTCCAAGCTGTCGCACCACAATAGCCCCAGGAATCCACGCCGCTGACCACCAACTAAACAGGGAACGAGTTGTCAAGTGACAGGGGACGCATGCAACTGGCCGCAACAACGCGTGGCCACTCATTAACCCTGGGCATGCGCCTGTGGCTCAACATAACACCAAGGCCTGCCACTGGAGCCAGTGGGACTCGGAGCCTAAGCAAGCCAGTTAGCAGACGACTTGTCAGGCCCGTCAAGCTGCACCCCTGCAAGTCGCCCTCCACTGAGCAGAGCACATCCGTGCATCCTGTGTACACGCGCTTATCCTGCAAACGCCAGAGCTTCGTCCACAGGACACTTAACAGTGCAACTCCAGCAAGCACGGCACAAGCTCAGTGCTAGATTCTGCTTCAGGCTAACAGCTCGATCACTGCTCGATTGCTTTGACCAACTTTCACGACACAGTCGACATGAGTCGACACGGGGACATCCATTTCTACGAAACAAGAGTCCTGAGTCCTGCACAAACGCAGCAGCACACAAGCGCCCGTCGACCTGCGCACAGCAAGCAGCCAAACGCTCTCACTTCCCCACACAGCTCTCAGCACGGACCAGGCGACGATGTTGCTGGCGGAAGGCTGTTAGCGGCAAGTCGGTGCCCAGCTGCGCTTCAGCACTCGAAACAAGCAGAGCGATGATCCCAACTGTTGCCCGCATGGCTTGCAAGATTCCTGTCTTCGTCACCTCTCTTCCTTGAACTTCCCAGACAAATGTATCTTTGCGGCGGGGCAGGAAAGGCTACAAGCTGGAACACACATACACTTGGCGGACAGCAGACACCTCTTCAGCCAGCTCTACGAAACAACTAAAGAAACTCAGCGGCATCACAACTGCAGGACGTTGGTCCACACATTCACCAGAGCATCACGGTAACTGGGTCGATCTCGCTCTAGCCAGCTGGCGCCTACGCGGCGCAGCGACGGTGGTACCTGCACACGGGAAATCTTCGCACACTGAGCTCTGACTGCGCATCGGAGTATCCCACATGTCCAAGGTTTGCTCAGCAGCACGCTGCGCTTTCGTGAACTTGCTCACGAAGGATCGCACGGTCTGGACTTCTGCCGCAACATTGGCGGCGGCCAGCGCGCGACGGGCATCGTAATCCACCACTGACACAACAGGCGTTTCACCTCAGATCAAGAGGTCTCAACTCGACTTTTGGAGCAAGAAGCCATCCTGGCGCTGGAGAACACGGCTGAAGTCACATTTCAGCACCCCCAGCGAAAAACAAGTCCGAGCCATCGCACCACAATAGCCCCAAGAATCCACGCCGCCGACCACCAACTAAACAAGGAACGAGTTGTCAAGTGACAGGGGACGCACGCAACTGGGCGCAACGCGTGGCCACTCATTAAGCCCCCGCCTGTGGCTCGACATAACACCAAGGCCTGCCACTGGAGCCAGTGGGACTCGGAGCCTAAGCAAGCCAGTTGAGCAGACGACTTGTCAGGCCCGTCAAGCTGCACCCCTGCAACTCCCTCCACTCAGCAGAGCACATCCGTGCATCCTGTGTACACGCGCTTATCCTGCAAAACGCCAGAGCTTCGTCCACAGGACACTTAACAGGAAAAACTCCAGCAGCCCCAACGCATGCAACTCCAGCAAGCACGGCACAAGCTCAGTGCTAGATTCTGCTTCAGGCTAACAGCTCGATCACTGCTCGATTGCTTTGACCAACTTTCACGACACAGTCGACATGAGTCGACACGGGGACATCCATTTCTACGAAACAAGAGTCCTGCACAAACGCAGCAGCACACAAGCGCCCGTCGACCTGTGCACAGCAAGCAGCCAAACGCTCTCACTTCCCCACACAGCTCTCAGCACGGACCAGGCGACGATGTTGCTGGCGGAAGGCTGTTAGCGGCTTGAGCTGCTCACGCGACAAGTCGGTGCCCAGCTGCGCTTCAGCACTCGAAACAAGCAGAGCGATGATCCCAACTGTTGCCCGCATGGCTTGCAAGATTCCTGTCTTCGTCACCTCTCTTCCTTGAGCTTCCCAGCAAAGTATATATTTCGGCGGCGGCAGGAAAGGCTACAAGCTAGAACACCCTCACAGCGGACAGCAAACAGCAGCTGCACAGCTACGCCGTCTGAGGCGCAGCTTTTCAGCGAAGCATCTCTACGAAACAACTGCAGTAAAACCACTGTGTAAGAAACCGTTGTGCTAGAAAGCGATTGGCGGTTGCCTTCTAGCTAGGGCCACTTTCTTACAACGCTGCCTGCAAACCCCTCCCCTCCATGTCTAAGCACCAAAAAAAGACTGTTATTGTAACCTATAAACCCCTAAATCCTATAAACCCTACAAACCCTAGATTACAAAAACTACAAGCCCTAAAACGAGATTCGTTTGATGACCGCAGCAAAACTCGATCCTGGACCTCCACACAACAGCCTGAAGAGCACATTAGGAGATCTTCCCTGCACTGAGCACACTCGTGAAACTGTTAAACACGCGTGAGAGAGGGTTTCTGGGCCTGTGACATTTTGACATTTTGCACCACACACCTGGCAGCGAGCCTTCAAACGCCGCCAGGATTGTGGAATGACGGGCTTATCCGTCCGTCACTCAGGGGATCCTAGCGAATCCGGACACAGGCACCCTGGCCCCAGAGAAGCAACCCCTGACCCAGCACAAGACCACTGCACGCAACGCTCTCTCATTTTCCCTACACTGAGAGACAACCATCAAACCCACCCTGCCCGCCAGGGCCCTTTTACCTGTTTTGCAGAAAGGTGGACGGGCGTCTGTATAAACCGGGGGCGGGGGGTAGTGGGGGGAGGTGGCCCGGAGTATAAATGAACTGGATGACCCATGTAGACATGCCCACGAGGCCTACTCTGAAAAAACAAACCCCAATTTGGAGAAATAGGCCCCGTTGCTTTTCTTGTTCCCAGCAGCCTTACAAGGGTTATGCATGGTTTTTTGCTATGGGCCACCTGCAACCCGTCGCTTTGCAAGGGTTTGCGTTAACGGCCAGCAAACTGTTGAAGTCATTTGAAGTCTTCCAAACAGGTGTCGCTACAGCATCGCTTTGGGCGTCGCGCTGGAGGCTGGAGGGCTACGCTTCTGCTGTGATTACTATAAGCGGCATCGCAATTCGGTGTTTCCCGTCGCTGTACCGGGTTTTTGACACTACAGCACGCACATGTCCTACCAAGACAAAGCCGGAATTACCATCCTTGCTCATGTGGGTTTGGTCTGAATGGTTTCTAGCGCGCTCCCTTGAGCCTCAAATCCCAGCTAACAAACTCCGGGTACCCCAGCGCCGGAAAACCGTTCTCTTATACAACGTTCGTACTGTAAAGAAACTCAGCGGCATCGAGCACTCTGCTGCACAAAACTGCACAGGGGTAAGGGACGGAGCTGCCGCACGGCAATGGACGTTGGCCCTCACATTCACCAGAGCATCACGGTAACTGGGTCGATCTCGCTCTAGCCAGCTAGCGCCTACGCGGCGCAGCGACGGTGGTACCTGCACACGGGAAATCTTCGCACACTCCACTCCAGTCAGAGCTCTGCACACTGCGAATGGGAGTATCCCACATGTCCAAGGTTTGCTCAGCAGCACGCTGCGCTTTCGTGAACTTGCTCACGAAGGATCGCACGGTCTGGACTTCTGCCGCAACATTGGCGGCGGCCAGCGCGCGACGGCCATCGTAATCCACCACTGACACAACAGGCGTTTCACCTCAGATCAAGAGGTCTCAACTCGACTTTGGAGCAGGAAGCCATCCTGGCGCTGGAGAGCACGGCTGAAGTCACACTTCAGCACCCCCCCCGAAACAAGTCCAAGCTGTCGCACCACAATAGCCCCAGGAATCCACGCCGCTGACCACCAACTAAACAGGGAACGAGTGGTCAAGTGACAGGGGACGCATGCAACTGGGCGCAACGCGTGGCCACTCATTAACCCTGGGCATGCGCCTGTGGCTCAACGTAACACCAAGGCCTGCCACTGGAGCCAGTGGGACTCGGAGCCCAAGCAAGCCAGTTAGCAGACGACTTGTCAGGCCCGTCAAGCTGCACCCCTGCAACTCCCTCCACTCAGCAGAGCACATCCGTGCATCCTGTGTACACGCGCTTATCCTGCAAACGCCAGAGCTTCGTCCACAGGACACTTAACAGTGCAACTCCAGCAAGCACGGCACAAGCTCAGTGCTAGATTCTGCTTCAGGCTAACAGCTCGATCACTGCTCGATTGCTTTGACCAACTTTCACGACACAGTCGACATGAGTCGACACGGGGACATCCATTTCTACGAAACAAGAGTCCTGCACAAACGCAGCAGCACACAAGCGCCCGTCGACCTGTGCACAGCAAGCAGCCAAACGCTCTCACTTCCCCACACAGCTCTCAGCACGGACCAGGCGACGATGTTGCTGGCGGAAGGCTGTTAGCGGCTTGAGCTGCTCACGCGACAAGTCGGTGCCCAGCTGCGCTTCAGCACTCGAAACAAGCAGAGCGATGATCCCAACTGTTGCCCGCATGGCTTGCAAGATTCCTGTCTTCGTCACCTCTCTTCCTTGAACTTCCCAGACAAATGTATCTTTGCGGCGGGGCAGGAAAGGCTACAAGCTGGAACACACATACACTTGGCGGACAGCAGACACCTCTTCAGCCAGCTCTACGAAACAACTAAAGAAACTCAGCGGCATCACAACTGCAGGACGTTGGTCCACACATTCACCAGAGCATCACGGTAACTGGGTCGATCTCGCTCTAGCCAGCTGGCGCCTACGCGGCGCAGCGACGGTGGTACCTGCGCACGGGAAATCTTCGCACACTGAGCTCTGACTGCGCATCGGAGTATCCCACATGTCCAAGGTTTGCTCAGCAGCACGCTGCGCTTTCGTGAACTTGCTCACGAAGGATCGCACGGTCTGGACTTCTGCCGCAACATTGGCGGCGGCCAGCGCGCGACGGGCATCGTAATCCACCACTGACACAACAAGCGTTTCACCTCAGATCAAGAGGTCTCAACTCGACTTTTGGAGCAAGAAGCCATCCTGGCGCTGGAGAACACGGCTGAAGTCACATTTCAGCACCCCCAGCGAAAAACAAGTCCGAGCCATCGCACCACAATAGCCCCAAGAATCCACGCCGCCGACCACCAACTAAACAAGGAACGAGTTGTCAAGTGACAGGGGACGCACGCAACTGGGCGCAACGCGTGGCCACTCATTAAGCCCCCGCCTGTGGCTCGACATAACACCAAGGCCTGCCACTGGAGCCAGTGGGACTCGGAGCCTAAGCAAGCCAGTTGAGCAGACGACTTGTCAGGCCCGTCAAGCTGCACCCCTGCAACTCCCTCCACTCAGCAGAGCACATCCGTGCATCCTGTGTACACGCGCTTATCCTGCAAAACGCCAGAGCTTCGTCCACAGGACACTTAACAGGAAAAACTCCAGCAGCCCCAACGCATGCAACTCCAGCAAGCACGGCACAAGCTCAGTGCTAGATTCTGCTTCAGGCTAACAGCTCGATCACTGCTCGATTGCTTTGACCAACTTTCACGACACAGTCGACATGAGTCGACACGGGGACATCCATTTCTACGAAACAAGAGTCCTGCACAAACGCAGCAGCACACAAGCGCCCGTCGACCTGTGCACAGCAAGCAGCCAAACGCTCTCACTTCCCCACACAGCTCTCAGCACGGACCAGGCGACGATGTTGCTGGCGGAAGGCTGTTAGCGGCTTGAGCTGCTCACGCGACAAGTCGGTGCCCAGCTGCGCTTCAGCACTCGAAACAAGCAGAGCGATGATCCCAACTGTTGCCCGCATGGCTTGCAAGATTCCTGTCTTCGTCACCTCTCTTCCTTGAGCTTCCCAGCAAAGTATATATTTCGGCGGCGGCAGGAAAGGCTACAAGCTAGAACACCCTCACAGCGGACAGCAAACAGCAGCTGCACAGCTACGCCGTCTGAGGCGCAGCTTTTCAGCGAAGCATCTCTACGAAACAACGGTTGCCTTCTAGCTAGGGCCACTTTCTTACAACGCTGCCTGCAAACCCCTCCCCTCCATGTCTAAGCACCAAAAAAAGACTGTTATTGTAACCTATAAACCCCTAAACCCTTTAAACCCTACAAACCCTAGATTACAAAAACTACAAGCCCTAAAACGAGATTCGTTTGATGACCGCAGCAAAACTCGATCCTGGACCTCCACACAACAGCCTGAAGAGCACATTAGGAGATCTTCCCTGCACTGAGCACACTCGTGAAACTGTTAAACACGCGTGAGAGAGGGTTTCTGGGCCTGTGACATTTTGACATTTTGCACCACACACCTGGCAGCGAGCCTTCAAACGCCGCCAGGATTGTGGAATGACGGGCTTATCCGTCCGTCACTCAGGGGATCCTAGCGAATCCGGACAACAGGCACCCTGGCCCCAGAGAAGCAACCCCTGACCCAGCACAAGACCACTGCACGCAACGCTCTCTCATTTTCCCTACACTGAGAGACAACCATCAAACCCACCCTGCCCGCCAGGGCCCTTTTACCTGTTTTGCAGAAAGGTGGACGGGCGTCTATATAAACCGGGGGCGGGGGGTAGTGGGGGGAGGTGGCCCGGAGTATAAATGAACTGGATGACCCATGTAGACATGCCCACGAGGCCTACTCTGAAAAAACAAACCCCAATTTGGAGAAATAGGCCCCATTGCTTTTCTTGTTCCCAGCAGCCTTACAAGGGTTATGCATGGTTTTTTGCTATGGGCCACCTGCAACCCGTCGCTTTGCAAGGGTTTGCGTTAACGGCCAGCAAACTGTTGAAGTCATTTGAAGTCTTCCAAACAGGTATCGCTACAGCATCGCTTTGGGCGTCGCGCTGGAGGCTGGAGGGCTACGCTTCTGCTGTGATTACTATAAGCGGCATCGCAATTCGGTGCTTCCCGTCGCTGTACCGGGTTTTTGACACTACAGCACGCACATGTCCTACCAAGACACAGCCGGAATTACCATCCTTGCTCATGTGGGTTTGGTCTAAATGGTATATAGCGTGCTCCCTTGAGCCTCAAATCCCAGCTAACAAACTCCGGGTACCCCAGCGCCGGAAAACCGTTCTCTTATACAACGTTCGTACTGTAAAGAAACTCAGCGGCATCGAGCACTCTGCTGCACAAAACTGCACAGGGGTAAGGGACGGAGCTGCCGCACGGCAATGGACGTTGGCCCTCACATTCACCAGAGCATCACGGTAACTGGGTCGATCTCGCTCTCGCCAGCTAGCGCCTACGCGGCGCAGCGACGGTGGTACCTGCACACGGGAAATCTTCGCACACTCCACTCCAGTCAGAGCTCGCACACTGCGAATGGGAGTATCCCACATGTCCAAGGTTTGCTCAGCAGCACGCTGCGCTTTCGTGAACTTGCTCACGAAGGATCGCACGGTCTGGACTTCTGCCGCAACATTGGCGGCGGCCAGCGCGCGACGGGCATCGTAATCCACCACTGACACAACAAGCGTTTCACCTCAGAGCAAGAGGTCTCAACTCGACTTTTGGAGCAAGAAGCCATCCTGGCGCTGGAGAACACGGCTGAAGTCACATTTCAGCACCCCCAGCGAAAAACAAGTCCGAGCCATCGCACCACAATAGCCCCAAGAATCCACGCCGCCGACCACCAACTAAACAAGGAACGAGTTGTCAAGTGACAGGGGACGCATGCAACTGGGCGCAACGCGTGGCCACTCATTAACCCTGGGCATGCGCCTGTGGCTCAACGTAACACCAAGGCCTGCCACTGGAGCCAGTGGGACTCGGAGCCTCAGCACGCCAGTTAGCAGAGGACTTGTCAGTCCCGTCAAGCTGCACCCCTGCAAGTCGCCCTCCACTGAGCAGAGCACATCCGTGCATCCTGCGTACACGTGCTTATCCTGCAACAAGGCCAGAGTTTCGCCCACAGGACACTTACAGACACATACACGGATTCTGCTAAGCTAACAGCTCGATCACTGCTCGATTGCTTTGACCAACTTTCACGACACAGCCGACATGGGGACATCCTTTTCGACTAAACAAAGAATCCTGCACAAACGCGGCTGCGCACAAGCGCCCATCGACCTGCGCACAGCAAGCAGCCAAACGCTCTCACTTCCCCACACAGCTCTCAGCACGGACCAGGCGACGATGTTGCTGGCGGAAGGCTGTTAGCGGCTTGAGCTGCTCACGCGACAAGTCGGCGCCCAGCTGCGCTTCAGCACTCAAAACAAGCAGAGCGATGATCCCAACCGCGGCTTGCATGGCTTTCCAGACCCTCCAGTTCGAACTCTAAGTTTCCTATCGTCGTCACCTTTCTTCCTGAACTTCCGGAAATGCGCGCAAGCTGGATCAAAACGCGTCATTAGAATCATTATTTCGTTTGGCATGAAGCGGCGACAAAAAAAAGCTTGGGCCCAAAAAAAGTCTGCATTTGAAGAAGCAAAACCCACTCTGCCCGCCAGGAGGTACTTTTAAACGTTTTGCTGAACAGCGGTCGGTCTGCTCAAGCGAAGAAAGATCCTCACGCACGAAAAACCCAGCAGAGAAAGAGACTCAAACATCCCTCCTACATAGAAGCATGCAGGGCGCCCTCCTTCTTTTTGCGACGAATTATCCAAGGCAGCCGTCCGGCCTGCGCGAGCTAGTAAAGCGAAGGAAAGAGAAAACAAAGCAGGGAGCAGTCGGATCCCTGCTGCACGCAGAGTTTAGAGACCGAGAAACACCATCGTGCTCAGCGATCCCACTTTGCTGCATGGCCTGAACACAAGCGGCCTTTTTATCAGACGTTGGGATTATGTGCACCCGAGCGCAAAGAACCAAATAAGCCTCCAGGCATCCCAACCCACTTTTAGGGCGGGCGGGCGGGAAAACAAAGACAACTGGCTGCACAAGAGCAGCCCAACACGGACAACCCCCAACCAAGATCGGACTGCTGGACAGCTCTTCACACACAACTATACACAAGGCGTGCATGCGAGATAGAGAGGGCCGCTGTCGCGTGTAGCAACAGCGCAACCACACCACAAAAGGAGGCGTGGACGCGCTCACGAACTGAAGCTCTGATCAGATGCACCGGGAACCTATGTTGCGCAGAGCTAGAATGAGCTCACATCCACAACCACAAGCGATTGTATTGCACGCAGACGCGCGAAAGCCCCCACTACGCCGGCCGTCCGGTGCCCTACACGCACTGACCTGCGCACGCAAGTTGTCAGCTTTACCACGAAAGCGCAGCTCATTGTAGCCATTGACGCAGTTGTTCGAACCACTGCTTGGTCATGAGAAGTCAGGCCACACGGCACCTTTACGTAGCCCGCGCACTCGCAACCTTCAGCAAGCACTGCACTGCCAAGCGCCTAGGGTCAGCTCCTAAGGTCAGCTGCCGCAATGGAAAAGCGGGCAGAATCTCACCACAATGCTTTTCCCGCTGCCACAGCAGCGGAAGTCTTTTCTCGAAGACGGACAGCCTCTTCTGCAAGCCCAGCTGCGTGACGCATATCTGCCTG